TATATATATAACATTGGAAGCAGGTGCCCCAAAGAGGTGAGCAGTAGAAAGGGAGGGCAGTTAAAAGCCATCAGTCAGTCATGGCCTCCCAGACCCTGGGAACTCTACCACTGCTGGAGAATCTGATCAAGCACTAATTGAAGGTTCCAGTTGACCGAGAAAACGGTGATTTCAAATAAGAACCTCAAAAGTCAGATGATTGGAAGCTCTGTGGATTTGGAATTCAACTGCTTCTCACCTGGGCAACTAAGTGTGCTCCAGGGAAATTTGAGTTACTTATATTCCAGGCCATGCAGGACTATCGCATGTGAAATATGTATATTTGCAGGGGGAAAAAGTCTAGGGAAAAATACACACCAAAGGAATACATTCGTTCATTCATCAGGCATTACCTATTTCATGCCACACCTTGGGCTCTAAAGAATCAGAACTACCACGTAGCAAGGGAGAAAAACGGGTAAGAATAAAACATCGTTTATTTCCTTATTTTATTTTTGTCTGTGTTTTCTAAATGTGACTAGATCTCTAACAACCAAGAAGGTTTTATTTATTTTGAAAAAATATACTTTCCCTGTTAAAAGGTGAGCCACTCTTCTGAGGGCAGAGTCGGAAAGAAGGGTCCAGAAGCCCACCTAGCGTCCGATTTCCTTTTTTTTTTTTTTTTTTTTTGTTTGTTTGTTTAACAGGGTCTCGCTCTGTCGTCCATACTGGAGTGCAGTGGCGCCATCTCGGCTCACTGCAACCTCCGCCTCCTAGGTTCAAGTGATTCTCCTGCCTCAGCCTCCCGAGTAGCTGGGATTACAGGTGCATGCCATCACGCCCGACTAATTTTTGTATTTTTAGTAGAGACAGGGTTTCACCATGGTGGCCAGGCTGGTCTTGAACTCCTGACCTTAAATGATCCACCCGCCTTGGCCTCCCAAACTGCTGGGATTACAGGCGTGAGCCACTGCACCCGGCCCCAGCGTCCAGTTTTCAAAGCCCCTCTGCTCAGCTTCCAGAGATCCCAGGAAACTCTAAGTGGGAGCATCTCGTATCCCCACGATGCGACCGGTCACAAAACACGGGACCCGAGACACTGAAAGTGGAGGCTTCTTGATGGATCAAGCTGCGCAGTTCTCATATCGACCCGCGGCCAGGCTGTAAGACAGGTGGTCGGCTACAGACACAATCACAGCCACCTTGGACAAGGACCCGTGAGCTGACAGCCATTAAGCTTCATAAACTGGTCCAAATCTAACGGACCGCTACTGCCGGAAACGGAAAGTCCTCAAGGGCGGGTGTTGGAAGCAGAGCGGAAGCGGAAGGAGAGTACCGGAAACGGTGTTTGGTGGCGCACGCGATGGCCGAACCTGTGTCTGTTGCGGCTGAATATCTCGCGGGCAGCAGGGCGCGCGCTGCACGCACAGTACTAGGTCAGGTGGTGCTGCCGGGTGAGGAGCTGCTCCTGCCGGAACAGGAGGACGCGGAAGGCCCTGGCGGTGGCGGGGAGCGACCGTTGAGCCTGAATGCTGGAGCGCGCTCGCGGGTGCGCGTTGTATGCGGCCCGGGCTTGCGGCGCTGTGGGGACCGCCTGCTGGTCACCAAGTGCGGCCGCCTCCGTCACAAGGAGCCCAGCAGTGGCAGCGGCGGCGGTGTTTACTGGGTGGACTCTCAGCAGAAGCGGGTGAGCTGGGACTGCGGAGGGGTGGTGCGGCCGTGAGAGTGATAGCCCTGGTTTGAAAAGACCTCCCAAAAGAAGAAGGGATGGGATCCTGAGGCCCTCTGTTGTTCAGGCAAACCTAGAGCCGCCGTAGTCTTGTGCCCACTTCTGCATGTCCTTTAGAGGGACCGTGAACAATAGGAGCATAGCCTGAGAAGGGCGACCAGGAGAGAAAAACGTTTGGAGACCGTGAGTCATGATTATAAAGTCTTCAAAACTCCAAACGTCAGGGAGCAGCAGGCTTGCCCATTCAAGTCTCAGAGGGCAAGACCAGGCTCAATGAGTGGATGTCATAGGGAGTTAATTTCTCCTAGAACAGGTAAGAACTTTCATAGAGAAAAAAATTGTCTAACTATGGAATGGGCTTCCTTGGTTGTAAGGATTCCTTTGCCACTGAACTTATGCCACAAAGCTAGGAACTTACTGGTTGGGGTGCTGAAGAGATAATGGGGTTTGGACTCAATTAACAGACTACCAGAAGCTGCACACCTGACACTTTATGATGTGATTTTCTTTTACCGAAAGTGGCATATGATCAGATTTCTTTCTCTTTAATGACAATAAAGTAACCACGAAGGACTTGCTGAAGGTATCTTCCAATGGTATCTTCTCATTTATGGCTGTTTTCTCATTCTATTTCCTTTTGTAGTATGTTCCAGTGAAAGGAGACCATGTGATTGGCATAGTGACAGCTAAATCTGGAGATATATTCAAAGTTGATGTTGGAGGGAGTGAGCCAGCTTCTCTGTCTTACTTGTCATTTGAAGGTGCAACTAAAAGAAACAGACCAAATGTGCAGGTAATTATGGGAGCCTTTGGCTTCAAAGTAAGAAACATCCCTTCCCTAGAACACTCAGATATCCAGAAGGCTACCTGAATTGTCTCCAAAGTATGACCTAGATCTTTGAGCATGTATATAATTGCCCCAGGCTCCAAGAGTTTCTTCAGATGCTGCAGGATCAGGGCCACATAATTTTTTTTTTTTTTTTTTTAACATTTACCATTTATTTTACATTGGCTACATTTGTTCTTGGGATGTTTCATTTCTACTGAGTTGAAAGGTTGTATCTGTCATCACCATTATTTGTTACGTCCATATCCTCGGGACAAGGATGTCTGCTGTAGGCTTAGAGGAGGGACAGGTGGTGCAAATTGACATTATCAGCTATCCATCCATCCTGGCTGTAGGTCCTAGAAGCTGATAGAGGAGTAATACTGTTACCTTGGGTTTTCAGGTTGGGCTTTTCAGGTAGCATAGCCACACGCTTCTTGTCTATCCAGCCCGAAATTTAGTGATGTCTTTGCCTCTTCACATTTACTTCTCATACAAATTTATTTGCTTAATCTTATTTGATTCTGTCTCTGATTTTTGGCATGTCTATCCCTTTATCTCCACTTTGCAAGTTCAGGCTTTAGCTCCGTCTTGACTGGTCTCAGTCACTTCTTCATTAATCCTTGCCTCCACGCTTTTACCTCACCATCCAGGGTTTTGAGAGCTGACATCCTAACACAGTTACTTTCTCGAAAAGGAAAAACGAGATTCTCCAAAATCCACAGAATTCCTTGGCATTACACTCCAGGTGTCTTTCCTCATCCCTAATTATATCCTTCATACAGCCATACCCTAATCACACCAAACGCCATTAGACTCAATTTCCTGCCCTTATTCCTTTACACATGCTGTTCCCTCTGTCTTGATTGCACTATCCCTTCGCAGCCTGTGGAACACATTCTCATCCTTTGAGACCTAGGCTAAACACGACCGCCTCTGTAAAGCCATCCCCAGTTGTGACTTTTCTCATTTTTTTGCTCTAGCACTTACTGGATTTAGCCTCGACTGAGGTTTGTTTATATGTACCTCCCCACTGCCCTCCAAGACCAAATGCTTCTGAAAAGCAGAGAATGTTTTGTTCCTCTCTAGTTTACATAGTCACCAACAAACAGTGGGTACTTAATATGTTTTGAGTGAACAGAATTGAGTTCACTCTCCATTTCCTCAGTTTCATCCCTTTAAAGTTTAGCTCTATGAGGTTTTTAAGTAAATCTTGCAGGGAGAAGTGTCAGTGAATTATTGTTTTGTTTTGCTTTGAATAATTTGCATGCCGGAGTTCCTCTCTCTGTAAATTGTAATTCTCTAGGGTAGTGCCACCTAACATAACTTTCTACAGTGATGCTGTTTTGTATCTGCACTGATTAGTATGGTAGCCACTAGCTGTTGAGCACTTGAAATGTGGCTAATGCAACTGAGGAAATTAATTTTAAATATCTAATTTTAATTAATTTAAATATAAGTTTAAACAATTGGCTACCTACCATATTGGACAGTGCAATCCTAGAGGTGTTCTCTGGCCTTGAGATGGGCTCCTTGTCTGTGATTGCCTGGTTGGTGAAAGGGAATGATACATGTGTTCCTTTTTTTCCCCAAGACTCAACTTCAAAGTGACTGTGGGAATCCTGTAGTACAGTCAGTCCCTTAGCCACAGAACTGTAGGTGGCTGGCATTGATGCCTGTGAGAAAGAACCAATAGCAGCACCTGTAGAGGAGTTTGCTGAGAGGAAATGAACTGGTTTTTAATATCATTGTAGGTTGGAGATCTCATCTATGGCCAATTTGTGGTTGCTAATAAAGACATGGAACCAGAGATGGTCTGTATTGACAGCTGTGGACGAGCCAATGGAATGGGTGTCATTGGACAGGATGGTCTGCTTTTTAAAGTGACTCTGGGCTTAATTAGAAAGTAAGTCCTGATGTCTGCTGCCTTGCCTGCCTTCTTTTATAATTACACATTCTTAGAAAGTTGGTTAATCTTCAGGATTCAGATTATTTGTAACATTTAAATTTCTCCTCAAAATTAAAAATCAATATCCATTTTAACACATTTGGAAACTCATGAATTTAATCCTATCTTCTTGGAAACGTATCAAATTCAGATGTGTTTGGCTGTGTAGTTTCTGGTGGGCTAATACTTCATGCTTTAAGCTCTTACTCTGTATTCATGTCTTCCCACCCAGGCCTATTCCTTAGTTGACTCAGCCCAAATGTGAAAACTGGCCTTTCCCCTGTTCTGAGTCACTTGAATACAGATGCAATCTGCAGTTGTACAGAATTATCAAATTTTTCTAATTATGGGGGTCACACGCAGCTTACATCATGATGTTCAAGGTTATGTAGCCATTCACAGAAGGCTTCTGACACTTGGTCCTGGTAAGTTTAACAGTTCCCACTGAGGCAGATTCTCTTTTTGGTGTTTACAAATTTACCCACCCAAAGCTGTGCCATATTCAGGGGCTTTACTCCTAGAGCCTGTGAAGTTCAGAACTATCTTGTATGCCTCTCCTTGCTCCGTATCCTAAAGATCTGGAGAATTAAGTTTGGACATCAGAGAAGCATGTTATTAACCAAGAAACATGTTATTAACCAAGCACCACCCTTATGGTTTGAAAGAGCCAGTGTTCCTCTCCAAGTACTGTATTTAATGCAAGAGAATAATATGGTCAGGAAAGTAAGTTTAAAGTGTCTTTTAGCACTGTAGGTAACAAAAAAAGTTATGATTCTCAGTCTAGAATTAAAGTGCTCTAACAATCTAGTGGAATGACTTTTACGTTTTTTGCAAAGTTGGTAACCTAGGGAGTTTGACTTCTTCGTAAGGGATAACCCACCTCTGTGATCTCTAATATACCTTTGAACATTATAAAGTTTCTTGGAAGGAGGCAGCAAATGTCATCATGTGCCTTGTTCTTGTTGAACAACTACGGAGAACTCAGAAAAGGAATCACATTCTAAAGGAGACTCTGGACACACCTTCGCTGCTTTATTAAATTTCATTTCCTTTTCTCTTCCCACCAGGCTATTAGCTCCAGACTGTGAAATCATACAGGAAGTGGGAAAACTCTATCCACTGGAGATAGTATTTGGAATGAATGGAAGAATATGGGTTAAGGCAAAAACCATCCAGCAGACTTTAATTTTGGCAAACATTTTAGAAGCTTGTGAACACATGACGTCAGATCAAAGAAAACAGATCTTCTCCAGATTGGCAGAAAGTTGATATAGGTGGACTTTTTTACAGGTCAGTTGATGCAAAAAACTATGGGTTTCCTGGGGAATACTTTTTTCACGTGAACCTCTCCCCATTTAAATACTCAGAAGATAAGGTATGAATGTATATTATCAGAGTCCTAAAATATTTTTATAAGTAAGTTACTGGTTTTCACCCACGCTTTAGAGAGAAAATCATTGCAAAATCATATTTTCTGTTTCTGTACAATAAAGTTTACTAAAAAACAGTATTATGGTATATTTGGAGTTAACTCCCTTAGTATTGCTACAGCTTCCATAATTAACTGGAAGTCAGCAGTAAAATAATTTTCTGATTATAATAGTAAGCCAGGTTCACCAGAGGAAATGCAGACTACATGAAAAGTATAAAGCAGCAAAACGTCACCTGTAGTCCCATTATTCAGGGGGTGAGTATATAACAATGAAATACTGTGTGTTTTCCATTTACCAAGTATTGTGTTTTGCATGGATTAACTCCTTTATTCTTACTAACTGCAGAAGACACTTATCCTCATAATTGAAACGGAGGTACAGAATTTAACTTGGCCTACATTATCTGTATGTTCATCAAATTGAAATTATATTATAGCTTATATGCTACTTTGTAATATACTTTTGTCTACTTCAAATAGCATGATACATTTCACAACTTCCATTAAAAATTCATTAGTCACATATTTCATGTTATAGGATATTTTTGATGTAGTATATTTGATATATTTTGATATAGTTTATTATTATATAAATAATGAGGATTTCTGAATCCAAATCTGGCCAAGTCTTATTTTGCTGAAATCATTTCCTAGGAGCTCAGCATAGAAAACTCTTCTATGCTATTTAGTATATTAACCAAAACCTTTAAAGGTAAAAAGACTGCCGGGCGATCCACATCAGTGATTCTTGGTTTCTAGACCTCTTTGAGAATATGTGAGATATAGCTCCCCTGAAGCCTATCCATAGAAAGTCCTTTTTGGATGAAAGAGATTATAGAACTCATTGTTTATATGTTGATAAAGACCAAGGAGCTTTATGTGTTCCTAATGATGTTTTCTGAGGACTGGGCGGTTTTTTTACTTCAATAGATTTTAGGGCTACAAGGGGTTTTGGGTTACGTGGATGAATTGTATAGTGGTGAAGTCTGAGGTGTACCAGTCACCTGAGTACTATATATTGTACCCAATATGTCATTTTTTTAATCCTTCCCCTTCCCCCTTCTGGGTCTCCAGTGTCTTATACCACTCTGTGTGCTTACCTGTAGCTTAGCTCCCACTTACAAGTGAGAACATTTGGTATTTGGTTTTCCATTCTTGAGTTACTTCACTAAGAATAGCTTCTAATACTATCCAAGTTGCTGCAAAAGACACTTGGTTCTTTTTTACAGCTGAGTAATATTCCATAGGATATATATATACACCACATTTTATCCATTCATTGGCTGATGGGTACTTAGATTGGTCGCATATCTTTTATGAACTGTCTGGCCGGTTTTTAAATAATAGAAAGATACTGGTGTAATTTATTAGGTGATCACAGTTCCTTAGGAATTAAATTGTGAAGGGGAGGGGACAGAGCAGAGAAGTAATCTTTTGGTTCTTTTGAGTTATTGAATACATTTCCTGAATTTGCTAGCTGCTTAACTAGCAAGTTAACTAACCCAAACTGTCAGAGTAACTGAAGCAAATATGTCCAACTGGGACATAAGGAACATGAGATTTGTGTAATAAGCAGGTTATTTAACATGTTCATGTGTCAAAATGTAACACTTTCTAGCCGTTTTCAAGACAGACTTTTATCAATACTGTGTTTGCTTTACAATTTAATCTGTTACAAATACATATGAAGAATCTAGTTGGTACCAGGCTCAGAGAGGATAGAAAGATAGGTACACAGATCTGTCCTGTTAGGATCCTGCCATTAGGAAGAGAAGTCCTCCATGCACATACTCCACAGGGTAAGAGCCATAGGAGGGAACAAAATGCTATGGGGACTCAGTAGGGATAGGTCAGAACAGGCTGGATCCTGCAAAGCTTATTACAGAGCTGGGAGACGATAAGCATGATCAGACAAGGCTGGAGAAAGTCATCCAATTTTATGATGCCAGTTTAGTGAATATTAAACTCTTGATATAACCATTTAAACAATTTCAAGAGGTCTCTCACAAATAGATATACAACAGTTCAATTAGCACATCCAAAGCCATGTGGTTTTGAGGCTAATTCCTTGTTACATAAATTTCTTTTTTTTCTTGAGAGAGAGTCTTGCTCTGTCGCCCAGGCTGGAGTGCAGTGGCACGATCTCGGCTCACTGCAACTTCCGCCTCACAGGTTCAAGTGATTGTCCTGCCTCAGCCTCCTGAGTAGCTGAGACTACAGGCACGCGCCACCGTGCCTAGCTAATTTTTGCATTTTTAGTAGAGACAGGGTGGTTTCACCATATTGGCCAGGCTGGTCTGGAACTCCTGACCTTGTGATCTGCCCGCCTCAGCCTCCCAAAGTGCTGGGATTACAGGCATGAGCCACTGCGCCCACCACATTAACTTTTTATTACTTATCTGGGCACTTCCTGTGAGCCAGGCACTATGGGAAATTAAAAAGCATTCAGTGTGGTCCCGGACATTAGCTTACTGTGAAGCTCTGAGAATATGTCATGCAAAGGCAATTATGTGCCACTGACACCCTCTGCCCTGCTCTTTGGTCAAGGTTAACTCCAGCACCTCACTCTTGCAGCTGCAATTTTTTTTTTTTTTTTTTTTTTTTTAGATGGAGTCTTGCTGTGTCACTCTTGTCACCCAGGCTGGAATGCAGTGGCGAAATCTCAGCTCACTGCAACCTCCACCTCCCGAGTTCAAGTGATTCTCCCACCTCAGCCTCCCAAGTAGCTGGGACTACAGGTGCATGCCATCACACCTGGCTAATTCACCATGTTGGCCGTGCTGGTCTTGAACTCCTGACCTCAGGTGATCTGCCCGCCTCGGTCTACCAAAGTGTTGGGATTAAGGCGTGAGCCACCACGCCTGGCCACGCACCTGCAATCTTCGGCCCATCATTCCACTGAGTTCCGAAGAATATAGCCTTTTCCTGAAGTAACTCCTTTCTTCAATGCTTCAGGCCAGTTGTGAGTCTCTAAGTAAGTCGACAGGATATCAAACACTGTTAGAGAGTAAACAGAAAACACAGTGACCACACAGAGGAAAAAAAGAATGAGTAAATGAAATGAAAAGGATGTTCTGTAATATTTCATTGAACCTATTCTGCACCATATGTGGTACTAAGGTCCTGCGGGGAGAGAGGCAAGGACACAAGCTCTGCTTACTCTCAAGGACCTCAACCTACTCTGAAAGATACAGGCCTGTAGGGAGTAACAGAAAGGAACACAGTAAAATGGGAACACAGAAGGGCCCTGCCATGGCCTGGGATGGGGAAGGAAGCCAAGATGTTCCTGAACTGAACCCTGAAGATCAAACAGGAATTCAGTGGTCAGTGAGAGGTTAAAAGCAGGGCATTCTAGGTCAAGGGGACAATTTCTTTCTTTTCTTCGTCTCCTCCTCCTCCTCCTTATCCTCCTCCTTCTTCTTACTCTCTCTCCCCCCACCCCCCGCTTCCCTCTCTCTCTCTCTCTCTCTCTCTTTTTGAGGCGGAGTTGTGCTCTTGTTGCTCAGGCTGGAGTGCAATGGCACGATCTCAGCTCACCACAACCTCTGCCTCCCAGGTTCAAGTACTTCTCCTGCCTCAGCCTCCCAAGTAGCTGAGATTACAGGCATGTGCCATTACACCTGGCTAATTTTGTATTTTTAGTAGAGACGGGGTTTCTCCACGTTGGTCAGGCTGGTCTCGACCTCCCGACCTCAGGTGATCCGCCTGCCTCAGCCTCCCAAAGTGCTGGAATTACAGGCATCAGCCACCGCACCCAGCTTTTTTTGTTTTTGTTTTTGAGACAGAGTATCACTCTGTCACCCAGGCTGGAGTGCAGTGGTGTGATCTCGGCTCACTGTAACCTCCACCTCCCAGGTTCAAGCGGTTCTCATGCCTCAGCCTCCGGAGTAGCTGGGATTACAGGCACGCGCCACCATGCCTGACTAATTTTTGTATTTTAGTAGAGATGGGATTTCACCATGTTGGCCAGGCTGGTTTCAAACTCCTAACCTCAGGTGATCCGCCCACCTCAGCCTCCCAAAGTGCTAGGATTAAAGGCGTGAGCCACTGCGCCTGGCCAAGGGGACAATTTCAACTATCTTTAACATAGTTGGTGACAAGGAAGAAAACAAAGAATGCCTCTTGGTGGCCAGAATATGTGTCACGAAGTGCATGCAATAAAGTCCAAGCACATTAATCACAAGAGACTGACTCAAAGGCCACTTAAACACAGTGCAAAGCAGCAGCACCAGAACTCACACACGCTGGATGGGGGCCGTGTAAGAAGTACCTTGATTGATGGCCAGGATCTCTGAATGATAGTTTTTCCCATTCTGGTTTCTGACCATGTATTCCTGGATTGGCAAGCGTGCGGTCTTGACAGAGTACTCCCAGGCCTTTTGAAATGTCACCTTCTGTAAATACAGTTAAATCTTTTTCTTATAAAAATTATCCATGAGTATATTCCCAATGTAATACAGCTTTAAAAATAAGTACGCTATTGTGGAATGGAAGAAACTGCAGATAATGAGTTAACTGTCTCAAGAGCTTATGTGACAATATCTCACTTTTGGGGGGTCACTTATCCACAGTCCTCCACTCACTACCACTTAGAACCAAGAGGGAAATAAGCAAAAGAGGCACATCTGCAGCTACAGTAGACATCAAAAGGCCCAAGAAGTCGAATCAATCAGAGCCCATTCTGAGCCCTAACTCAGTAAGACCCAATTCTGGATATCTGGAACTTCCAGCTCACTGCCAAAAGGCAGCATCAAGAGAAAAGGTAGACAAGATTCAAGACGGGTGCACCACTGCAACAAGTGGCATTAAGGTGTGAGAACAGACAGCCCAATTAAAAGAAAGGGACCAGGTGCAGTGGCTCACACAACACTTTGAGGCCAAGGCCTCTGGCTTGAGCCCAGGAGTTCAAGACCAGCTTGGGCAACAGAGGGAGACCCTGTCTCTACAAAAAAAAAAAAAAAATTAACAGGGTGTGCTGGTGTGTGCCTGTAGTCCCAGCTACTCTGGAGGCTGAAGTTGGACAATCACTTGAGCCTGGGACATATGTCAAGGCTGCAATGAGCTGTGATTGCACCACTGCACTCCAGCCTGGGTGACAGAGGAGACCCTGTCTCAAAAATAAAAGGAAGGGCTCTGAAAACTGCAAAAAGGAGTCACAAGAAGTCCATCAACTTGAGGCCATTTAGTGGCAGAATACAGAAACTGATGTCCCTTTATAACATGTTCCTCAGTCATGAAGTCCCTCAGACTGAGTCTTGACTCAGTCAAATTACATTGCTGCCTTATAAGAAGCACAGGAAAGATTTTCCACCTAAGATTTCAGGATTAAAGAGAAAGGTTCAGATTACTGGGATAATTAACATGCCGAGGCTTGGAAGGGGTCTCAATAGTGAACTATCTTACTCTAACTGCCCATCCAATGTCTGTCTATTCTCTATGACTTCTCCTCCAAGAGGCCATATGGCCACTCAATGAACAGCTCTTGTGACAGGGAGTTCATGAATCCTGGGACAACCCACCCAACTTTGATAGTACCAGCTGATAAAAAATTCTTATTGATCTTGAGCCAAATTCTCTGTTTTCTCTGAGACTTCCACTCCTTCATCCTAGGTCTTTTCCCCCAAGGTCAGACTATGCAAGTAAGATGGCCATTCAGAAACCTGAAGGCAGTGATCATGCCCCTAGGAATCCTCTGGTCTCCAGATTGTAGCCTCAGTTCTGTCAGCTCTTCTTTGACTATGACTTAGTTTCAAGTCCCTTCATCATTCAGGGCAAGTTCTTCTGAACTTGTTCTAAGCTAGTCAATATCATTTTGTTTACAGTCCCATAACTAACTGGCCATCATGAGTGTGGTCTAACCAGGTGGAATAGAGTGAAGTGGACCTAATACCTTTTTGATGCTGACACCTGCTTCTCTCTCACATGAAACAAAATTTTAAGAGAGAACTTCCAAAAATGTTTTAAGAGATGCAACTCTGATAAGACAAGGGCTTAACTGAAAGGATAAAACTCTTCTGCATATATGAGCTATGATACATTTTATAAAAAGTCATTCCTTTATAATCACTTTGAACTAGAGTACAGAATTCAAAATTAGTAGGATATTTGGGTGTTGCCCTAGAAGAGCTTATAATTTAGTTTATGTTCTTTGCACAATGATTCATAATAAAATGAATCTCCTTGAAGAAATATTGTTCTTAGCTTATTTCTGTGAAGAAGCCAAACTCCAATAACAACCAAAAAGTTCTAAACATCTCACGAATCTTCCAGTTATTTTTCAGTTTACAGGTGGACAGATAACACAACGTATTAAAACTGCACATCTATAAGTCATGCACTTCTCACTGACCCTCTGAACTTAACTGCCTCAAAAAAGGGACTGTTGGCCAGGCACTGTGGCTCATGCCTGCAATCTCAGCACTTTGGGAGGTTGAGGCAGGTGGGTAACTTGAGTCCAGGAGTTCGACACCAGCATGGGCCATATGGTGAAACCCCAACTCAACAAAAAATTAGCTGGGCTTGGTAGCACCCACCTGTGGTCCCAGCTACTTGGGAAGCTAAGGTAGGGGGATCAGTTGAGCCTTCGAGGTTGAGGCTGGAGTGAGCTGTGATTGTGCCACTGTACTCCAGCCTAGGCAGCAGAGCAAGACCCTGTCTCAAAAAAAGAAGGGGGGGCTGTCACCCTGCTGCAGGTAAGACTAATAAACTTTTAATTAATTATTATTATTTTTTAGAGACAGGGTCTCACTGTGTTGCATCACCCAGGCTGGAGTGCAGTGGTATGACCACAGTTCTCTGCATCCTCTAACTCCTGGGTTCAAGTAGTCCTCCAGCCCTCCAAAACTTTTTTTTTTGTGAGACAGAGTCTTGCTCTGTCACCGGGCTGGAGTGCAATGACGCAATTTCGGCTCACTGCAACCTCCGCCTCCCCGGTTCAAGAGATTCTCCTGCCTCAGCCTCCTGAGTAGCTGGGATTACAGGCACACACCACCATGCCTGGCTAATTTTTATATTTTTAGTAGAGACAGGGTTTCACCATGTTGGCCAGGATGGTCTCGATCTCTTGACCTTGTGATCTGCCCGACTTGGCCTCCCAAAGGGCTGGGATTACAGGCGTGAGCCACCACGCCCGGCCCAAACTTTTTACTTTGAAATATTTAAAACCTAAGAAAAGTTCAAAACAATAATACAATCAATATTCATTCCTATAATCTAGACTCACCAGTTGTTAATATTTTGCATTTTTTCTCCTTGTATATAAATACGTATTTTGGGCTGGACAAGGTGGTTCATGCCTGCAATCCCAGTGTTTTGGGAGGCTAAGGCAGAAGGATTGCTTGCAGCCTGGAGTTCAAGACCAGCCTGAGCAACATCAAGAGACTTCGTCTCTAACAACAACAACAAAAAAATAGCTGGCCATGGTAGCACGCCCCTACAGTCCTAGGTACTCAGGAGGCTGAGACGGGAGGATTGCTTGAGACCAGAAGTTCGAGGTTGCAGTGAGCTATGATCACACCGCCTCACTCAGCCTGGATGACAGAGCAAGACCTTGTCTCAATAAAAAACAATTTGCCGAACCATTTGAAAGTAAGCTGCAGACATCACAATACTTCTTCACTAAATACTTAAGCATGCATCTAAGAACAATGACATTCTCCTACCTTACCACAATACCATTTTCACTTCAAAGAAACTTTTTAATAAATCTGTAATTTCACTTAATACACAATCTATATTAAAATCTGCTCAACTCTCCCCAAACTGTCTTTTATAAAGCTTTCCTCTCAATACAGAATTCAAACGGGCTCACATGCTGCATTTGGCTATTACAGCTTTTTAACCGTTTTTTCTTTTCCTAATTGTTTTGTAGAGATAGGTTCTCACTATGTTGCCCAGGCTGGTCCCAAACTCCTGGCCTCAAATGATCCTCCTGCCTTGGCCTCCCTAACTACTGGCATTACAGACATGAGCCACTGTGCCTGGACGAACCTCTTTTAATCTAAAACAGCCTCCTGCCTCAGTTAAGTCCAGTCCAATTGTTTTGCAGAATGTCCCACATTCTGATTTGTCTGTTTCCTCATGATTAAATTCAGCTTAACCATTTTCTGGGCCAGGTGAGAGGGTTCACACCTATAATCCCAGCACTCTGGGAGGCTGAGATGAGAGATTGCTTAAGTCCAAGAGTTCGAGGCTGGACACAGTGAGACCCTGTCTCTACAAAAAAAATTTAAAAACGAGGTTGGGCACAGTGGCTCACACCTGTATCCCAGCAATTTGGGAGGCTGAGGCAGGAGGATTGCTTGAGTCCAGGAGTTTGAGACCAGTCTGGGCAATGAAGTGAGACCCTGTCTCTACAAAAAAATTCAAAAATGAGGCCAGGTACAGTGACTCATGCCTGTAATCCCAGCACTGTGGGAGGCTGAGGTGAGTAGATTGCTTGAGTCCAGGAGTTCAAGACCAGCCTGGGAAACATGGCGAGACTCTGTCTCTACAAAAAATATAAAAACTAGCTGGGCATGGTGGCACATACCTGTAGTCTCAGCTACCCAGGAGGCTGAGGCAGGTGGTTTGAATGAGCCCACAAGATTGAGGCTGCAGTGAGCCATGATCACACCACTGCACTCCAGCCTGGGCAACAGAGTGAGACCATGTCTCAAAAAAATAAATTAATAACTAACTAGGTGTGGTGGCATGGGCCTGTAGTCCTAGCTACTCAGGAGGCTGAGGTGGTGGGAGGATTGCCTGAGCCCAGGAATTTGAGGTGAGGTTGCAGTGAGCCATTATCACTCCACTGCACTCTAGCCTGGGCAACAGAGCAAGGCCCTGCTTCAAAAGGAAAAAAGAAAAAACATTTTCTGGCAAGAATACTTCACCTCAGGAGGCAGAGATTGTACCTCTATGGGTGATACTAAGTTTGATCAAGTTTGGATAAGATGGTGACCACCAGAATGCTTTATTGTAATGGTAAATCTTTGCCTTTGTTATCTGTAGGGTGATACTTTGAGACCATGTAAATAGCCAGTTCCTCTACAACCTTTCTTTCAATTGTCTGAGTCAATGATTATATTAGGAGTGACAAAATGATGATTTTCTAATTCTATTATGCATTTCTTATTAGCTGGCATTCTTCTGTAAGCAGCCCCTGCTCATTTTTTAGATGATCACTATGGAGTCATGGAACACTAATGTTTTTAAAATAAATTTAATTAAATTAACCTATCATCTGTGTTAAATATATGTACATCTCATACATACAGGAACAAATAGCACACATCTACATATATGTAAAATATACCCACACATATTTTGTGATCATATAATGTCTCAAGAAGGATACACAAGAAAACTTGACATTGGTTGCCTCAGAGGAAGGGAATTGGAAGACAAAGGTAGGAAAAAGACTTATTTTTCACTCTACTCTTTTATATTTATATATTAATCTTTATTATTTAACTTATTATCTATGTAATATGTTAATTAGTAAATATAAACAAGCTTATCTTGACAAATAGCTATATAAAAGAAACATATTTCAAAATTCCAGTGACAACCCAATTATTCCTCTAAAACTCCAACCAAAAAAAATGTGGATAATTCTAGGAGTTTGAAGTTTTGGGATAGAAGACTATTTCAGCAGAGAGGTCAACGTGAGAAGGAGCAAACTACTCTCTCAAAGAACAAACAGCCAGTAAGAATGTTGAGTCGATGCTTACTTGTCAAGATCAGAGTTTTCCTTGCAGAACTGGAGAAGCTCAACAATGGCTATTTATGTAATTACTAAATAGTGCCCAGTCCAGTTCCCAACTCTTGATTTTGCTGGCATTGCTCATGAGGAGAGAGGGAACTTCACCGGCTAGAGGGCCAACCTCATGGGGATGGCTTTCTTCCTGTTCCCTCTGAGTTCTTAGATCCTCTAGATGAGATTATGACAGAGCACATGCCTCTAAAAGTAAGCACTGCTTTTTAAAACACAGATGTTGGGGCTGAAATGTAATACTTACCTTCTGAATGCTTTCATCCACAAGCCCACCGAGGATGTAAACTTTGTTTAGATCAACATCTTCAAGAGCTAATGAAAAAATGAAGGCCAATGAGATCAAATCTGTTTTATAATTTGTAAATCCAAAGAAAGCAAAATGAAAGAATTATTAACAATAAAAGTAGAAATTCAATAGAAAACAAAAAGAAACTTGCTCAATAAAACCAAAAGCTAATTTTCTAAAATGGCCAATAAAACAGACAAACTGTTGGCATAGCTAATCATGAAAAAGGCAAGCAGACCCAAATCAACATTAGATTCAGAAAGGAAACAAAATTAAAACTACAGAAGAATGTGAAATAATTATATGAGAATACTATGATCAACTGAATACCAATATATTTAAAAATTATGTGAAATGAATGATTTTCTAGGAAAAAATAGATCTAATGTTGATCCAAGAAGGGCTAGTGGGACAGCTGACCAAGGATACTGGGAAAGACTGGCAGGCAGTACACAAGGCCCGGATGAGCATGGAAACCCTAAGTCTGTGAGCTGTGAGCCACACAGTAAGACATATCAAAGCATCCAGCAAGGCACCTGCCCATAAGAGGAGCGCAGCTCATGTGCATTACTTTTTTTTTGGGGGGGGGGAAGGGGTGTCCTTCTTGAGGGGCTTTAATAAATTCTGCCACAGGGAATAATGAAACACAGTGTTAGGAACAATGGGCTATACGAATCCATGCATTCAACTACATACCATGTTCTGAGTCAGGAGTCAGGTACACAAGGGTTTCCAGAGGAAATAAACTAAAGCAGTCTTCTTCTTTTATATCTAGCTGAAAATGCGAACAGTCCAATGTTAAAACAGCTCACGGCCAGGTGGGGTGGCTCACGCCCATAATCCCAACACTTTGGGAGGCTGAGGTGGGAGGATCACTTGAGCTCAGAAGTTCAAGACCAGCCTGGGCAACATGGTGAAACCCAGTCTCTACTAAAAATACAAAACAATTAGCCAGGCATGGTGGCATGTGCCTGTAGTCCCAGTTATAATACTTAGGAGTCTGAGATGCGAGGATGGCTTGAGCCCAGGAGGCGGAGGTTGCAGAGAGCCAAGATCATGCCACTGCACTCTAGCCTAGCTAAAAAAAAAAAAAAAAAAAAGCTCAAAGTTCAACAGCTAGTTACTGGACTTCGAGTTTCTATCAGGCATAGCTCTAGGTTTATCAAGGAACTGCATGTGTGACAGACTGACAGCTGCTTCTCAGAAAGTACTTAGTTAGGAGGGAAAGTAGACACAGACATTCAAACCTATTTGAAATGAGACAGCGACATGGGGTTCTGAGAGAGGTACGGGGAGCATGTTCCAGGACTACCGATGAGGGAGTAACAACATCAGGATGACCTTCTGGGGAAGGAAATGCTGGAACTGGGTTTCTGAAAGGAGATTTAAAAAAAAAAAAAAAACAAACACAGGGTCTGGCTCTGTCACCCAGGCTGGAGTGCCATGGCACATCTAGGCTCACTGCAACCTCTGCCTCTCAGGTTCAAGTGATCCTCCAGCCTCAGCCTCCTGAGTAGCTGGGACTACAGGCACGCACCACTGCACCCAGCTAATGTTTGTATTTTTAGTAGAGGTGGGGTTTTGCCATATTGCCTAGGCTAGTCTCGAACTCCTGAGCTCAAACAATCCACTTGCCTCAGCCTCCCAAAGTGCTAGGATTACAGGTGTGGGCCACCATGCCTGGCCTCAAAAGAGATAATACTGACATACACAAAAGGAGAAGAACTCAAAACTGAGGGAATCACCTAAGAAAGGCAAGAAGACAGGAAAGTAAGGGAACTATGTGGACCTGTAAAAGGAACTGTTTGGCTTCTGTAAAATAATCATTTAAAAAAGTACATAGAAGAAAACTGGAACTAGCTGCACTGCAAGAGAGACTGTGAAGACAGTAACAGCAAAACAGCTGGCTGTGCAGCCCTGTGCAATGCACCCTTCACATTCATCTTCCGTGGACCTTCCTGGGGAAGGCCACAACTGCTGTCTCAGCTACACAATGCAAACACACTGGGCATTTTCAGTGACATTTCTGAGAAACTCATCTGGATTCTTGCATGTATATGTATCACTAAATGTATGAGATCCTAAAGAGAGGTGAAAAGTACCTTAGTACTCCCTAAAACTTATCTTAAATTTGCATTACTTCTAAAAGGATTCCTTCTCTTCCCCCAAAACTCATGTTTCCCAATTCACCATTAATGAGAACAAGAAAGAAGTCATGGCATTTCCCAAAAATATTCCTGGAGTATACAGTCTAGCATAAAATATACAGGATACAAAATATAGTCCTAGACTCTGGTAACAGTACTTTGCCAATGCAGTAGGAGGATGAGAAAAAATTTTAAATGTAAGACCTAATGAGAGGTTCTGAACTTTTTAGACTTCAATGCTGAAAATATAACATTATATATATGAAAAAGTAAATTTAAAAAAATTCTATTACCCACAAAAACTTTTCAGATGACAATTCAAATAATATGCAAAAAGAGACTTACCAGGTAACTAGAAAATCCATCATTCATCCTCACACACTCTTCATAAAGGGGACTGTCTATTGTGAATCCAGTGAGGCAGATCCAAAATGGCCTGTCAGCTTTTTTGTTTGAACCATACAACCTTCGAATCTGTCCAGCCAGCCTACTTAATTCCTTCAAAGAAGTAAGAACAACTCAGGGCGAAAACATGGCAACTCACTCTAAATTAGCTATCAAGAAATGGCTACAATAAGTTCACTGAATGCTACTCCAGAAAACCCCATGAACTAGGAGTACATGTGTGCGTGTGTTATACCTTATGGTATCGCACCTTACAGACAAAAGATAATGATACGAGTCCGGAAACAGTGAGGTAGTGGAAAACTGAGAATTTGCCCTCCTGCTGGCCCTGCTGTTAAATGTTTAATATATGAAATTCTTATTTTAGCTTTTATCTAAAATCTTACGTAATACTATTTAAGTTATTAAAGAGGTTTGATTAATATACAGAAATGTTTATAGAACATCAGATAAATTTGGTACCTTCTTCCTAACTTCAGGAGATGCAATAGGGTTGGAAGTTTTAACTTTTTACCCTGAATCACAGACAATGCTCTTACATAAAAGCAGTTTCACAATTTAGCTTGATTTGTTGGATAGGAAAAAAAGACTCTGGGTTTGATTTAATCTGCTATCTTAATTAAACAGTATGGATTTTTTTTTGAGACAGGGTCTGGCTCTGTTACCCAGGCTGGAGTGCAATGGTACAATCATAGCTCACTGCAGTCTCAAATTCCTGGGCTCAAGTGATCCTCCTACCTCAGCCTCCTGACTAGCTGGGACTACAGGTACAGGCCACCATACCTGGTTAATTTTTAATTTTTTAGAGACAGGTTCTTGCTGTATTGCCTAGGCTAATCTCAAACTCCTGGCCTCAAGTGATCCTCTTGCCTTAGCCTCCCAAGATGCTGGGATTATAGGCAGGAACTCCTGGCCTCAAGTGATCCTCTTGCCTCAGCCTCCCAAGATGCTGGGATTATAGGCAGGAGCCACTGTGCCCAGCCTAATAGTAGGGAATTCTTGGTTAACATTTTTAGAGGGCTAGAGTTAGAAGTTTCAGGTAAGAACCTCAGATCTGCAGTTTTCCTAACTTATCTGAAAAATATGCAAACACTAGCACATACAATAGATGTCTGAAAAGAGAGTTTAAAATTTACATACTGTGATATAAGGCCTAAAATTAAGGCCCAATATTATGTGCTGCCTTGACATCTGTCAAAACTGGGAATACTTCAAATAGCCTAATAGTAAGCTCCCCTCCCAACTCTGCTCCCGTAAATAAAGTCTCCTAGCTTTAAAAAAAAATCCTTTTTATCAAGGGTCCAAGGCATAGTCTCTGTTTATCCCTAAGGAGTGAGTTTTAGTTCCCTGCCAGCCCATGGAATTCTCCAAACAAGCCAATTACATCCTCCTATAGTAACCAGGGGGCACCTCACCCCCTAGATACTACAAAGCCCACCTCACACAGCCCCTTGTTGTTCATTCTGTTCTTGATTACAATCCCCACTTGGCCCTGTATGGTATACAGTATCTTTCTCCCCTGGGCTGTAAGTATATGAGACTCAGGAACTGCTGTGAATCGCATCTGTCCAGTGTCAGATGTCATGCATTCTGCCATTCTCAGAACTCTAGTGTGGGAATCCTTCCCTCATCAATGGGGTGAATGAGCATCAGTTAAAACGCATACATTGAGGCTGGGCATGGTGGCTCATGCCTGTAATCCCAGCACTTTGTGAGGCAGAAGCAGGCAGATCACCTGAGGTCAGGAGTTTGAGACCACCCTGGCCAACATGGCAAAACCCCATCTCTACTAAAAATACAAAAAAGTTAGCCATGCACAGTGGCTCACAAGGTCAGCAGATTGAGACCATCCTGGCTAACATGGTGAAACCCCATCTCTACCAAAAATACAAAAAATTAGCCAGGCGTGGTGGCAGGCGCCTGTAGTCCCAGCTACTTGGGAGGCTGAGGCACAAGAATGGCGTGAACCCAGGAGGCGGAGCTTGCAGTGAGCCAACATCGCATCACTGCACTCCAGTCCAGGCCATAGAGTGAGACTCCGTCTCAATAAAAAAGAAAAAAAAATTAGTCGGGTACAATGGTGGGTGCCTATAATCCCAGCTGCTCAGAAGGCTGAGGCAGAAGAATCGCTTGAACCCGGGAGGCAGAGGTTACAGTGAGCTGAGATTGTGCCATTGCACTCCAGCCTGGGTGACAAGAGCAAGACTCCATCTCAAAAAAACAAAAACAAAAAAAACACACACGTTGCAAAAAGTTCTTCCACCAGCTAATCTTCCCACAACGTGCTACCAAGCAAATACTCCTCTTCCCAAAGATTCAGTGTCTGGCAAACTGAACCTGAAAGGTTCCATCCAGACCGAGGACATCATGAACAAAGAGGCAAAGATGTTGGGCTTGAAACAAAAGACAAGGTAAAAATTTGCAAACTAAACCAAACTACATATATTCTCTTCCAGATTCTTTACAACAGCCACCTTGGAACTGAGTAATCTAGCATAGGAAATCAAACACTTTCCTAGTTTACTAAGGAATCCCAGAAGCTGGAGTTGGCCATATTCTTCGTGAAAGCTGCACCCTTCTGGGCCTCCCTCATGCGAGCAGGAATTCCAGTGGATGTTCTACCTTCTTTGACATGTGGTGGGTCATACTCAAATCGATACACAGTCTTGGTCCTGAGTGTTTGGCTTCCAAAAGTTTCTCTTTGGTTAGAGCTCTCAGGAAACGTTTGCTGTGCTGGGGGCAGACGCCTAAAGCAGAAAGATCAGAAAGAAATAAAAGTGGAAAACCAGAGGAATAATACTATATAAGAAACAAATCTCCCTAGCCAGGTGAGTTTTGTTTTTGTTTTTGTTTTTTTTTTGCATATAAAGAGAAACTTGATAGCGGTATAAGGTATTCGTTCATTAGGAGATTTACACATAGCAGAGCGGGGAGGAGTATGGGCTCTGGAGCACACAGCAGGGTTTAAATCCAAATTCAGTTTGTTCACTGATTAGCTAAATTATCTTGGGCGTAATTATGTTACTTAATTTCTCGAAGCCTCAGTCTCTTCACCTACAAAATGGGAATGATAATAATAGCTCCTCTCCACTGAGGTAATCCATGTAAAATTCTTAGAACTGAACCTAGCACAGAGTACTGAATAAATGATACTGTTGCTGGTATCATTCCATCTGTTCTGAGCTTATAAACACATACGCTAATCAGACAGTTTATATTTGAAATGCAACCTTAAATTTTGCTTCTTTTTTTTTGAGACGCAGTCTCACTCTGTCGCCCAGGCTGGAGTGCAGTGGCTCAATCTCGGCTCACTGCAACCTCCACCTCCCGGGTTCGAGATTCTCTTGCCTCAGCCTCCCGAGTAGCTGGGACTACAGGCGCCCACCACCACACCTGGCTAATTTTTTGTATTTTTAGGAGAGATGGGGTTTCACCATGTTAGCCAGGACGGTCGTGATCCACCCACCTTGGCCTCCCAGAGTGCTGGGATTACAGGCGTGAGCCACCGCGCCCAGCCGCAAATTTTGCTTTCTTTGATGTTTTGATTCCCAAGAAAATAGGACAGTGGGTCCTACATCCCAGATGCCTCTTTTTACTTAAACAAAATTCCCACTCTCCTTGGAACATGCAGACACGTTTGCTAAAAAATAAATATGATTATACCAGCAGTCTCATTTATTGTCACCTGGATTTTCTGCACGATTGGCTTTTCTTCGTTCTTTTTCTTGCTTTCTTTTGCTCTTCTTTGCTGCAACTATCTTTTCCCAGTGTCTCTGTTTTCTCTGGACATTTTTCTTACATTATCCAGAAAACAAAATTGTTTGAGAACTTCATAAGCACCAAAAAAGGAAAATGAACATTAGAAACATTTACTTATTTTTTCTCATTTATATATAAAGTTTGGCGAGAAAAAGGAAATTACTCATAAAAACAAACCTAGATTGGATCGTGGTTAGAGAAAACAGAGCCCCAGAAAAAGAGATGTGACCTGGTCAAGGTCACAGAAAATTCATTAGTGACAGGGCCTGGAGTTTAGATTTCCTGACCTTTCAGAGGTGTATCAAAAATTCCTTTTGAACTTTATTTACTTTTCCTATGACTCAAATGAAACTAAAACTTTGAACCAGTTAGCAGAAAATTAATTCATCACTTAGAATACACAAAACTCATTCCCAGTTTCTCTTTTCACTACCAGTATCCATCCTTAAAACAGGGGTGTCTGAGACATTCCATCATTCAAGGCCGATGGCCAGGCAATTCACTACACTCACCGAGCACCATGCTGTACTGCCTGTGGCCAGGGTCTCTCCCTCCTGGCACTCGCCTTCCGCATCAATCTGCAGAAGCTGGAAGCCTTCAGGAAGTCCATCTTCACCTGTCTCCTCTAGGATGCCTTCTTCCCCCTGCAGCACAGGTGATTCTACTTTCTGAGTACTCCCTTCCAATCTCCAGTCCATGTGCTTAGTCCTCTGTTCTTTCAACCAGACTAGAAAAAGGCACAATTATGTAAGCTATTACATTATTTCACTAACATAGGTATCTCCCTACATCCAAATAACAAAGTGTTATTGTGTTACCAAAAGATCAGAAGTGTGTAAAATACTGAACCAGATTTACTGGACTGAGAAAAACTTGTGTCTTCCAGAGAAATGATTCAGCAGAGAAACAGTTCAGTAGTAAGGAAGCCAAATACACTTTTTTTTTTTTTTTTTTTTTTTTTTGAGACAGAGTTTCACTCTTGTTACTCAGGCTAGAGTGCAATGGCGTGATCTCAGCTCACTGCAAACTCTGCCACCTGAGTGCAAGTGATTCTCTTGCCTCAGCCTCCTGAGTAGCTGGGATTACAGGCGTCTGCCACTAAGTCCAGCTAATTTTTGTATTTTTAGTAGAGACGGGGTTTCACCATGTTGGCCAGGCTGGTCTCAGACTCCTGACCTCAAGTGATTCACCCACCTCAGCCTCCCAAAGTGTGGGGACTACAGGCATGAGCCACTGTGCCCGGCCCCAGATGCACTTCTTAGAGGACATGCACAACACCTGACATCTCCAAGCAATCAATGATTATCTACTGCTGCAGTGACACAGATAACCAAGTTATTTATTGTGTACTTTAAAATGCATTATATGATTTGAGAGTAGGACAGAGATTGCAAAAGCCACATCACCTCCCCCATTATGTTTCAACCAGTTTATTTTCAAAATCCTTCCTTTAGCAAATATTTATTGAACACCTATTATAAATAGGGTACTATACTAGAGACATTCTGGGAGGATGAACCAAAATATACAGTAGAGTGACATGAAACCAAGAATTCTTTTAGGTAGTTGGTATGTATCAGACTTAGTTTTTTTAAACTATGTATTCCCTCCAACTCAGCTGAGTACCACCTGCAGTAGAAAGCCACAGTCACCAATGAAAATGTTTAATATCCCTCAGAAGTGCTGAGGTTGAAAACTATGGACAAGCACTGTTACAGAACACTTAACAAATGATGTCATAATTTCAAAGTGGAGTTCAAAATCTAAGAACGATATGAGTGAGAAACGCTTTAGTCGGCCGGGCGCGGTGGCTCACGCCTGTAATCCCAGCACTTTGGAAGGCCGAGGCGGGTGGATCACCTGAAGTCGGGAGTTCGAGACCAACCTGACCAACATGGAGAAACCCTGTCTTTACTAAAAATACAAAATTGGCCGGGCGTGGTGGCACATGCCTACAATCCCAGCTACTAGGGAGGCTGAGGCAGGAGAATCCCTTGAACCTGGGAGGCGGAGGTTGCGGTGAGCCGAGATCATGCCATCGCACTCCAGCCTGGGCAACAAAAGTGAAACTCCGTCTCAAAAAAAAAAAAAAAAGAAAGAAAGAAATGCTTTAGTAAACGGTCAAGTGTCATAGACCAAGAATGATGTGACCATTACCTATGGCTGGTCCTCTGAGTGTAGTCACACAACCACTATTTTATGAAAAATACATCTTAAAAAGTGTAAGTCTATGCAGTATGATTCATGTACATGGTAAAAAGACCTATTTATAATGAAAAGTAATAATCCACACTCCTATCCCTTCCACCTCTAGTGGCAACCCTTGTTAACCAGTTGTTTTTCATTCTTTTGGTACTTAACTCCTTAACCTGAACTCATATGCTTATATCATTATTTCATGATTCATCAGCTTTGAATATATTGACTCGCTATGAAACCTAAGAATTCAAATCGCTTAAATCAGTCCCTACTATTATTATTACTATTTTTGAGACAGGGTCTCACTGTTACCCGAGCTTGAGTGCAGTGGCACAATCATTGTTCACTACAGCCTCAACCTGCCGGGCTCAAGCAATCCTCCTGCCTCAGCCTCCCATGTAGCTAGGACTACAGGCATGCATCACAATGTTTGGCTAATTTTTAAATTTTCTGCAGAGATGGGGGTCTCCCTATGTTGCCCAGGCTGGTCTCCAACTCCTGAGCTCCCACCTCGGCCTCCCAAAGTGTTGGAATTACAGGTGTGAGCCACTGCTCCCAATCAACCCCTATTATTTTTATTTATTTTGAGACAGAGTCTCACTCTGTCGCCCAGACTGGAGTGCAGTGTTGCGATCTCAGCTCACTGCAACCTCCGCCTCCCAGCTTCAAGCAATTCTCCTGCTTCAGCCTCCCCAGTAGCTGGGATTACCAGGCCCGGCTAATTTTTGTATTTTTAGTAGAGATGGGGTTTCACCATGTTGGTTAGGCTGGTCTCGAAGTCCTGACCTCAGGTGATCCGCCCACCTCGGCCTCCCAAAGTTTTGGGATTACAAGTGTGAGCCACCGCACCTGGCCTATTATTTTTAATTCTTCATTAGTTACCTTGATTTTGAAATTTTTTTGAGATCAGGTTACCTTGATCTTTACATTTCTCTGGCAAAGATTTTAAGAGTACAGTTTAATGAATTTGTGTGTGTGGTAAAATATATTAACTCAATGAGCTTTAACAAATGTATAAGGCCTGTGTTACTGACAATCCTGTCAAGATATGGAACATTTCCATCACCCCGGAAAGTTTTTGTTGTTTGTTTTTGAGACGAAATCTCACTCTGTTGCCTAGGCTGGAGTGCAGTAGCATAATCTCGGCTCACTGGAACCTCCACCTCCTGGGTTCAAGCGATTCTCCCACCTTAGCCTCTTGAGTTGCTGGGACTACAGGCGCGCACAACCTTGCCCAGCTAATTTTTGTATATTTGGTAGAAATGAAGTTTCACCATGCTGGCCAGGCTGGTCTCGAATTCCTGACCTCAAGTGATCCACCACGTTGGCCTCCCAAAGTGCTGGGATTACAGGCGTGAGCCACCGCGCCTGGCCTCACCTCAGAAAGTTTAACTTTCTTCTCCACTTTCCAAATCAGTCTTCATCCCATTCCCACAACCTGCCAAAGGCAACCACTGTTGTTTGCTATAACCATGAATTATCTGTATCTATTATACAACTTCATATAAATAAATGCAAACATTATGTACTCTTTAGCACTTGAGTTTTTTCCCCTTAAAATATTTGAGATTTACACATGTATGTATCAGTAGTTGCTTTTTTATTGCTGAATAGCATTCCACTGTATGACTGTATCACAATTTATTCTGTTGATGGGCATGTGAGATTTTTTCCAGCTTGGGGAATAAATCTGCTATGAACATTTTCATAGATGTGTTTTTGTGGACATATGTTTTCACATCCATTGACTAAGTTTTAAGAGTAGAATTGCTAGGTCATAGGATAGGTGTGTATTTAACTCATAAGAAACAACCATCCATTTCCCAAAGTATTATCCCATTTTACACTGCCTGTCAGCAATGTATGAGCATTCCAAATGTTCCACAGCATCACCATCTGGGGACCCCTACGCAGATTTCTGGAGCTCCTTTGCTACACAGCTCCCTCCTTGCCAGTACCCTGCTGTATGCAGCCATCTCAGCAGCCCTAAATTCAACTGTTTCCTCCACTCAATGACACCGATGCACTCTGTATGGGCTCCATGTCACTATATACCCTCAGGTAGAAAGCCAGGGTGACTGTGGGGCTTCGCTTGTGTGTTTCTTCTCCCTCAAGGATGACAGTCTTGTCCTGACTACTGCCCAATACCTGAAAACAATTTCTTCATATCCTTTGTCCAGTTTTATAGTTTATTGTAGGAAGGTAAGTCCAATACCCATTCCTTCTGTCATAACAATTACCAGAAGTCTTTAATACTTTTAAGAATATTTTTAAACTTCTGTTTCTTGTTCAAGACATAGTATTTCTGACTCCCCAATATCTTTAGGCTGTGAACATGAACACCCTTATATTTCTATCTCTATTCCTCCTTTAATTTTCCAACTGAGCCTTTAATTTTATATGGTCAAGGTAGGTTTTACATTTTGCCCTGACAAAACAATTAAGTGCTTTGTCTATCCCTGTGGTATTTTCTAAAATTTGTAAACCAAATTTGTAAACTATTTTTTGAGATAGGGTCTCAACTCTGTTGCCCAGGCTGGGGTGCAGTGGTGCAATCACAGCTCACTGCAGCCTTGACCTCCCATGCTCGGGTGATCCTCCCACCTCAGCCTCATGAGTAGCTGGGACTACAGGTATGCACCACCATACCCAGCTAATTTTTGTATTTTTAGTGGAGACAGGGTTTCACCATGTTATCCAAACTGGTCTGGAATTCCTGGGCTCAAGCAATCTACCTGTGTCAGCCTCCCAAAATGCTGGGATTACAGGTGTGAGCCACTGCACCCGGCTGTAAACTGCATTTATATTATTATAACTCCATAAATATCATTCACTGTAGAGATGGCTAGTGTCCTAGAATTATATTTTCTTTTCCATTTTGACTCCTGTGTTTGGAAAACATTTCTAGTGTTGAGTTCACATTGCCTTTTTTCTTGTACTCCATCAAATGCTCAAAATTGGGCCAAATTGTAGTTGTTTTCAGTTCAGACACACTTAAATAGGTTTAAGTGGAAAAATAGCATTCTTAGAATTCAGACACACTTCCTAGCTTGCCACTTGTGAATGATGGGACAATATCTAGAAGATTTAAGTCTCTGCCATAGAGTCTCTCCACGAAATGGGATAAAACCACCTCACAGGATTGTTGCAAGAATTAGAAACCTTTCACTTACTGATATAAAACAAGTACTCGCGAAATACTTGCTGCTGTTAACTACTATTCACAACCCCTTCAGTGTTGTTCTTACAGTTGTTCTTAAAAGGTAAATCTTCTGAGTAGTTTTGGTTATTCGTGACATATCATGTGAACATGTGACCACCAGATACATTCCTGAAGATGACCAAGTAAATTACCTTCCAGATTTTCAAAATTATAGATTTGAAATTGGTGTCCATTTGTCTGCCTAGGCTAAAGTTTATTTCTGTTTAGAAATCCTTTAAAACCCAGTACAAATTAATTTTTAAACATATTTACAACAGACTCTATACAAAGAATTAGTGGCATGTATAAAATTTCATAATGTATGTAATATTTCCAGAGAAATGAGGAAAATGCCAAGCTGGCTGGGCGCAGAAGCTCATGCCTGTAATCGCAGCACTTTGGAAGGCTAAGGAGGGAGGATCAATTGAGCCTAGGGGTTCAAGACCAGCCTGGGGAACAAAGTGAGACCCCATCTCCATAAAAAATAATTAGATGGGCATGGTGATGCACACCTGTAGTCCCAGATATTGGGAGGCTGAAGCCAGAAGATCGCTTGAGCCCGGGAGATCGAGGCTGCAGTGGGCTACAATGAAGTGCCATTGCACTTCAACCTGGGTAACAGAGCAAACCATGTTTCAAAAACAAAACAAAAAATCCAAGCTATTCTTAAACATTTCAGAAGCACTCCACATGAATGAACAGTGAAGTTGATTTTTTATTTATATATATATATGTGTGTATATATATATATGTGTACATATATATGTGTGTGTATATATATATATATTTTTTTTTAAGATATAGGTCTTGCTATGTTGCCCAGGCCAGTATTGAACTCCTAGCCTCAGGCCATCCTCACACCTCAGCTTCCCAGTCACTGGGTAGAGGTGTGAGCCACTGTGCTGGCGCACATATATATATATATATATATATTTTTTTTTTTTTTTTTTTTTTTTTTTTTTGAGATAGTCTTGCTCTGTCACCCAGGCTGGAGTGCAGTGACATCATCTCGACTCCTTGCAACCTCCACCACTCAGGTTCAAGTGACTCTCATGTCTGAGCCTCCCGAGTACCTGGGACTACAGGCATGAACCACCACACCAGGCTAATTTTTTGGTATTTTTAGTAAAGACCAGGTTTTGCCAAGTTGGCCAGGCTGGTCTCGAACTCCTGATCTCAAGTGATCCGCCCACCTCAGCCTCCCAAAGTGCTGGGATTACAGGAGTGAGCCACTGCACCCAGCCCATAAACATGTATTTTTAACAAAAGATATCTAGACCCCTGTTATGACAGTTTTTTAGATGACTGAACAGACTTTGTTATGCCAACCATCAGTCACCTGCATTTTTCTGCATATAGGCATTCAGAAAAGAACAAAAGAAAAGATAAAGATAAACTAATCCTTAACTGACAACTTCATTTTATTAGGGTGAGAAAACCAACACCAATTTGTTAAATAAATGCTAATTTGTTAATAGCCATGTGATCTCTTCCTCCTTTAAACTTCAAAGCATTTTGTATTTTTACCTGTGTTGACCATTCATTAGTTCATAAACATTCCACTGAGCTCCTCCTGTATGCCGGGGCCTGTTGGGGAATGACTGGGAGGCTCTCTGGAGCTCTCTCTGGAGGTAGTCTCGCTGAGGAGGAGAAAAGAGATCGAGGATAGGAGATCCTAGGAGCTACAGACTTCCACTGTTGTTCTTAAAAACTGGAAAGTCTGTGCTGGTATTTTCTCTCCTATTCCTTTGTAGGAGGGCTTATACCTACATTTACCTAAACACTGAAGAGTTCACAGTATAGTTCCTTGAAAACAGCAGTGTTTATTTTTTGTTGAATTGAACTGAAATTTACCGCCACCACTCCCACTCCCTTCCTTTCTTTTCCCCTCGTTTTACCTCACGCTTCTCCAAATCTCTGTAGTCCCTGAGAATGTTTCTTAGACCAGGAACTTGGGATGCAATAATCTTGAAAATCAAATAAAAACAACTCCAACCACCACCAGAAGAGTAATAAAACAAGCTAACACTCCTGAAGGCAGAGCCCACCTCTTTTGTATCTTTGTATATCTGTTAACTAGCATAAGGCCTGGAACAGAATGGAAGCTCAGTAAATACTGATTAGGTGATTGCCACCTAGGGATCCTCAGAAAGCAAAGGTGAAGTTGGACATCACAGATGCAGAGATCTGCTCAGTCTGTGTGGGGCATTATCTACGCCCAGATTTAGCTTTTTTTTTTTTTTTTTTTTTGACATAGGAATTACCATTTTAACCATTTGTAAATGTGCAGCTAAAAACACACTAAGAGCATCCACATTGTTTGCCACCATCACTACCGTCCATCTCCAGAGCTTGTTCATCTTCCTAAAGTGAAACTCTGTGATCTTTATGTAACTGTCCATTACCCAATCCTGGCAGCACCTTTACATTTCCTATCTGCATGAATCTGACTGCTGCTCTGGTTTGAATGTTTGTCCCCCTCTCACATTCAGCTTGAAATTTAATTGCCATTGTTCACAGTATTAAGAAGTGAGATTTCATTTATTTCCCGTTTCTTCATTCAAAATCTTTTCTGAGCCTCCATTGTGGGTCCAGTGCTCAAAATTGGGACTATTCCTTACTTTCATTCAACAAAGTTACTAAGCACCTGACAGAACAGTACATCCTGGGTACTTGGGGATGACGTTCGTTCAGCTTTCATGGGGCTCCAACTATCTGACCCAGCCTTGCATGACAGCTGCCTGTTTCCCCACTAGATTATAAAGCCAGGGAACAATTCACCTGTACACACTTAGTGCTGAGCCTGTGAGCATCCTAAGTGTTTGATAATCACGCTCTTCTGCTTAGAACCCTGCAGTACTCTCCATTTCACTTAAGGTAAGTAGCCCAAATCCATACAATGACCTATGCAGATCATTAAGGTCCACCTTCCAGTTTCCCCTGCACTCTCTGGTTTGCTGTTCCTCAAACATACCCTTCAGGGCCTTTGCGTTCGCCGTTCTCTTTACCGTCAATGCTCTTCCCTCAGACACTTATAGACTACCTTCCTCCCCTCATTCAGATTTGTACTATCCAACATAACTTATTTTATTTATTTTTTGTCGGAACCTCCTCCATCCCTACAATGTAGGCAAGTGTTGTTTGCTTATAGACGCTCAATAAATACTTGCTGAGTTCATAAATACTCCACTCCGCACCCTCACCCTAGGTTGGCAGAGGCCTCAGACCTTTGCTAGCCCAAGTCCCACCTGATGGGCACCTACGCTGCCGCTAAATGATGGCACATCGACTCCAGCCCGAGAGCACCCCGCCTGCGGGTGCCTCCCAGCCCACAAGCTGCGGCGCGTGCGAGTAGAGGCAGGAAGGGAAAGCCCAGGAAGGTAGTGTACCACAGGCCACATGACTGCTAAACGCTGCTTTCCCAGCGTCCGCCCTGCCGCGAGGGAGGCGGCTGTCCCAGGCTGAACCCCGCAGCCCCCAGTCAGCCCCCTAAACCAGCAGACTGCTTACCTGATCCCGTCACCCCAGGCAGCAGCGGCGGCGGCGCCTCCGGCTTCGCTTCCGCTTCCTAACCCCGCTCTGAATGGCATCCTGGGAATTGTAGTTTTTCATCTGCCGGCCGCTCGTGGGGCCGGGCCGGCGCGGAGGCTGTGGCTTCTGCTCCCAGCCCGGGCTCTGGGGAGCTGCGTCCAGCCGTGGGGCCGGACCGGAGCGGAGGCTGCGGCTTCTACTCCCAGCCTTGACGCTGGGGAGATGCGTCCCGCCGTGGGGGTTGCCCGCCTTCTCTGAGCCCCGGTTTCCCCGTCTGTTAGACGGCGATCACAACCCCAACCCCTTGCCAACTTCACAGGGCTCCTGCAGGTGACCAGGTGCTATGTTGGTTGTCAAGGGCTGGACATTATGCATATTGCGAAACTGGGGTGTGTGAAACAGAAAGAAAAACAAAATTCTAAGCCCCGCAGCCGACTGAATGGACCTCCCTCTCGGCCAAGGGGATTCCAAAGAAACATTAAAAACTAGTTAAGGCCATGTTGGGAAGCGGGAGCGGAGCGGGGCCGTTGGGCATGTCTGATATTATATCCCGTCCCTTTCGGAGTTTAGACCCAACTGGGACTGGCAGAACAGAATCTTTGTAGCAATAAGATACCAAATTCCAACCTGACATCACATGACAGAAAAAGAAACCAAAAACTTTTACCCCAAAATATGTTTCATTGCCTTAATTTGAAATGGCCCTGCAAAGCTGTTTTGTGTTGGGGGTGCGGGAGGGATTTGCACCTGTAAAAACATCTCTATTACCATAACTAGATCTTTCCCCTCCCAGGTCCTCCCAATTCTGAAGAGATTAACTGAGTCTAGCACCTTTTTTCCCCTTCGTTAACAGGTGAAACCAAATTTGGATCGCCTATCATTCCACAGCCTTGCCCTTCCCCAGGCTTTGCCATAGCCCGCAGAGCCCTCGAGCTGACACAGCCCTTTCCTGAGCACACAACCTCCCTCTCCACTGCCCCAGCGCACAAGAGAGATGTCAGGGCTTTGATCAGGATGATTCCAGCCCCTGGGCACTCTTCTTCCTCCATCAAAGACACGAATCGGCTTGCCCAAGACTTGGCCTCCTTATCAGCCACTCTTCCTTCACTCCTGCAGTCCTAGGGGTCTCACCCATTCAGAGACACTCCAACCTGAATGAGCCCGAACTCCTGTTCAAGAAACTACAGCCTGGTTGGATTCCTCCTTGGCCCAACTTTCCCTTTCTGGACTTTTCTTTCCACGGCTCCTCCAGCACCTACCACCCATCCCCAATCCATGCTCCAATCCATCCTTTATCAGCTTCCAGGGTGATTTCTTTCTTTTCTTTTCTTTTCTTTTCTTTTTTCTTTTCTTTTTTTTTACAAATTTTTCTTTTTCTTTTTTATTGTTATTTTTATTTTTTTTTAAATAGAGATGGGGTTTCACCATGTTGCCCAGGCTGATCTTGAACTCCTGGGCTCAAGCGATCTGCTCACCTCGGCCTCTCAAATTGCTGGGATTACAGGTGTGAGCCACTGTGCCTGGCTGCGATTTTTAAATACTAACACTAAACACTCATTCCCGACCCCCTCCCCTGCCCCCATATGGCTTTTTTCTAAAGCCCAGCTTTAACATCTCTGCTCTGCTCTGCTCAGAGACGGCCCTGGCTTCCCACTGTCTGCTGAAATGCCCCAGTGGGGCTTGCACAATGGCTTAAATGATCTTCAATGACGCCTTCAGGTTTTAGCTCACACTACACCTACCAGTCCCTGCACCTCACACTGAGCCATGCTGAACGCTTTCCCCCACTCCCTGCCACCACTCTTGTGTCCTTTGCCTCTGAATAAGCTCACGGCCACTTTCCAGTGGGAGGAAAAGACCTTCTAGCTGGTCTCATTGCTTTCCCCAAACCCCACTCCATGCGTTTGCCATATGATTATGTGTCTCTCCTGATGTAAAATCTAACCCCCTTCCCGAGGTCTTGTATTACACAACCCAGCTCCTGCATGCCCCTCCCAGCTTCATCTCCTATCACTCTTCCTCCAGCTTGCTATGTTCCAGTTGTACTGATCCTGAAATGCTTCAAACGCCCTGTGAGCCTTGCAAATACTGTTCCCTTTCCTCTCACTTTTCCATGGCTGGCTTCTTATGCTTTAGGCCCCAGCTTCAGCATTCCCTCTTCAGAAAGGCCTTTCCTGACGACCACTCTAGCAAGATTGGTTCATTGTATCCCTGTCTTGGCATCGTTTTTTTGTTTTCTTTGTTACCTCTCAGTCAGTAATGGATTTTTTTTTTTTCTGTGTCTTTCCTACAATTATAAGTTCCTTAAGGAGACTATGTCTGCCGTGTTCATGGTTGTATTCCCAGTGCCACTACATAGTAAATATTTGTCGACAGAGTAAATGAATGATTTTTCTCTACGTTCTTGACATATCCAAATTCTATCTGTCAAATCCAGGACCTGACACACAGTACTCAATAAATACCTCTTGACATGCTAGTTTTAATTAATGCTGCCTTCTGCAGGAAGCCTTCCCTGATTACTACTCTGCCCCTTACCCAAAATGACTTCTGTCTCATTAGACCCCTCACAGCACCTTATCTGTTCTCTCTGGAGGCCTTGAGTGAACCGTGCCTTATGTTGTAAGCCTCTATCTCCACGTATCACCGAATCTCTATCAGGAGCTTTTCAAAATATAATAAGATTCTTCCCCAATTAGTTACATTCATAATGCTGCATCAGGCATCACCTGGCATGGGCATCCCATGAATGTTTGTTGAAAGAAATGAATCAGCCAATGTGATGGTGGGTGGGAAAAAGAAGGAAAGGTGTAAATGTCCCATCATTTCTTAGTCACTAAACAATTGACTCTTGCATTTCAGGGTAGCAAGTCCCCGTTCTGCCTATCTCATGTTGGAGGCTGCGTGACTCTAAAGAAAGTGCTAAACAGTGCAATTTCCCCTGCTTCTTTAGCTTTTCAACAAACAGTGAAGGGTTTCCCAGCAATTCTGGAACTTAGTTCTCCTCATGGGAACTGTAGAGAAAAATAGCAGCTCCATACAGTAGCAACTCAAGACAGTTAATGAATTTGAGGGGAGGAGAAGCAAAGAAAAAGGAAACAAACACTTATTGAGTGCTGAGCTGGAAGCTTCAGTCTTCTTTCTGCCTTCCATGATTATGTATTCTTCACAATAATGCTGAATATATGTTATTCAACAATCTCTAGGGTGTTGGCCATATTAGAAAAATGCATTCAAGGTATCTAAATAAGGCATCTGCCACATCGTAGGCCCTCATTAAATGAAAAGTATTATTTCCTTTATCCAGATGGGGAAACAGGCCCAGAGAAACACCTAATAACACAGGCCAAAGCCAGGATTCAAATCCTCATTGAGGCCAGGTGCGGTGGCTCACCCCTGTAATCCTAACACTTTGAGAGGCCAAGGTGGGCAGATCACCTGGGTGCAGGGGTTTGAGATCAGCCTAGGTAACATGGTGAAACCCCTCTCTACTAAAAAAATACAGAAATTAGCTGGGCATGGCAGCAGATGCCTGTAATCCCAGCTACTCAGGAGGCTGAGGCAGGAGAATCGCTTGAACCTGGGAGGCAGAGGTTGCAGTGAGCCGAGATCACTCCATCCTGGGCAACAAGAGTGAAACTCCATCTAAAAAAAAAAAAAATTATTGTTGAGTGAAGTCCCGAGCTCCTCCCCTAAACTTGTGAACACATAGGTTGTGTTCACATAAATGAGTGATTTACCTCTTCAATGATTTCTGCTGGCAAAAGTTTCAAGTCCTGTTTAACATTAGGCAATTTTTATTATTTTGGTGTCCTGTAGTTCCTATTTTTCATTGCCATGAAACTGCTTCCAATCTGTGTTCAAGAGCTTCATTTAAATTGCATTCCAAGTATTCTAAGAAACAGGCCTCTAAGAAAATATGTCTTTTCCTGGCACAAGTACTGGTTAACTGGTTTCTAGTTATTAATAACAAGTCATTGGTAACAGGAGATGGGAAGGATGCCTTTTCACGTCTTCTCTCAGGTATTGTTTTCCTTCTGATTGGAGAGAGCTGAGGTGTGTGACTTAACACTCCCCTCTGTTCCTGCTTTTGCTGGATGGAGAAGAGGAGCCCTAGGGAAAAGCCACGGGGGCAGCACTGAGCTCACAACTGGTCAGGAGCACCAGAGGGACAAGGGACTCCTTTAATGAACTCTAAGAGCCTAAGGTGAGTGACTAAACCACCTTTGGCCTGGACAGAGAAGCCAGGCAAAGAGGCATCCCAAGGGAGGCTTAAAATCAGTTTCCCTGGGGTCTAAAAACAAAATGCAGGGTATGGTTTCGGACTAGAATAGACATCCATAAGAGCTGACAGTTATAACTAGCATTTATCATTTACTAGATTGAGTACTTGCTGGATTTCTATCCCATAAAATGGGCACTATTAGTATCCCAATTTGCAGAAAAGAAAACCAAAGCACTGAGAGGTGAAGTGGCTTGTCTAAGGTCCACCGGGATGAACTGGGATTAACTGGCTCAACTGGGGTAAGAAAGGTATCCAATATATTTCTTTTGCTTTAATATTCTTAAAAAGGCAAATCTAATTCAAGGCTTTAATGTTCAACTTTTTATTTTTATTTATTATTATTAATTTTTTTTGAGATGGAGTCTCGCTCTGTCACCCAGGCTTGAGTGCAGTGGCACGATCTCGGCTCACTGCAAGCTCCGCCTCCTGGCTTCAAACGATTCTCCTGCCTCAGCCTCCTGAGTAGCTGGGATTACAGGTGCATGCCACCACGCCCGGCTAATTTTTTGTATTTTTACTAGAGACAGGGTTTCACCGTGTTAGCCACGATAGTCTCTATCTCCTGACCTCGTGATCCACCCGCCTCGGCCTCCCAAAGTGCTGGGATTACAGGTGTGAGCCACTGCTCCTGGTCAATGTTCGACTTTTTATATATTTAAAACAGGAATAAGGTGCAAGATTCAGGGATGCAATCAATTTCAGATAAAGCACATGTGTGGCCTTGC